GGGGGGGGGGGAGTATTTATAGTTTTAGGGAAGGTTAGTTTTGTAAATTGAAAAAGGGTTAAAAATTTTAAAAAAAGGCTATTTGTGCAATTTTTCCGTTGGCCAACGGACCAATTCAAGGTCTGATCGTTGCCAACGGTCAGTGGGGCCCACCTATTTCGAAAATTAAAAAAAAAAACAAAAAAAAAGTTCTAGCCATTGTACCGGGCCGGTTAACCCGATAAGGGTAACTGTTAATTGGACCGGGTTCAACCGGTCCGGTTACTCGTTTTAAAATTCTAAACGGGCCAACCCCCTCTACCCCTCCTACCCAGCCCAGCCCAACCCCCTTTAACCGGTCCGAGCCGGTTCCGGGTTTAACCGGTCTGGGCCGGTTCTAAACCGGGTCAACCCGGCCCGTTTAACACCTATATATTCACGTCCTATAGGATCCCGTCTCCCTGCTCTTTGTGTATCTAGCCAATTGCTGCTATTTGCTGGCTGAATATGCAGTGCGTAGCATTCCCTTAAATCTTTTACCAGCCTTAGTTTTGCAGCTAGCTTTGGTTACAATGTTCTCCTTCCTTCCAGCCGCCTGTAATAGCGACTAGATTTTGCATCAATAGGTTCACATATTTTTTTATGGGATCTAAGGTTTTTTAGAAATGTTAACCAGGGTGATATTTCTTTTACAGTTCTTTTTGATTGTGAAAATATGTCCCTTGTGCCTAACTCAAGACCATATAAGGAGACACAACCTATTCCCTCAACCAATGCGGGATGTTAGAGTGTGTTAGAGTCCCACACTGGTTGAGGGAATGGGTTATGGCCTCCTTATATGATCTTGGGCAATCCTCACCTCTTGAGCTAGCTTTTGGGATTGTGTTAAGCCCAAGGTCCATTTTCTTATTATGGTATCAGAGCTAGACTCATCCCAATTCTTTGTTTATCTGATGCTGGCCCCATTTTATATTGTTCACGCTCCAGTTGTTGGGTGTGGACGTGTGGGGGCGTAAGAGTGGGTTAGAGTCCCAAATTGGTTGAAGGAAGTTTAGGACAATTCTCCGGGCAAAAAAGAACCTTTATACTAGAAATATACCAAAAAGTAGAAGACCTACAAAAATATATGGTTTTCTACGAACATCACTCAATCTTCTATACATAAAGGAACGTCATGGGTGCACCGGAAGACAAAGGAATAAGAGAATACTCCTCAATTGTACAAAATTCATCTCTACACCCTCCAAAGCTCTCTTATTTCTCTCTCCGGACGACTTGCGTAAATGTTAGTGGAGCAACTTTCCACACCCCGTGTCTTCTCTTTCTTCTACCCTAATTCCATCTGAACATTAACTCTTTGCACAATGCCTGGCATCACCCAAAGAATTCCAAACCATCTTAGGAGCAGCCTCGAAGCTACTGGACAGTGTAAGAAAATGCGTTAAGTACATCAAAATATGGGACACCTGATAGTGTTCGTTATATGCAAGGATCAGTTGCCTTCGAATGGAGTATATGACGGAACAAATAATCTGAGGAGAGAAATATGTGGACTTTCTTCTGTTTCACTCTTTTTTATTTTCTAGAAGGAATATTTACAGCAGTTTAAATATCATTAACATGCAACTAGATGTGAAGTAGTTGAAAAAAATGAAAACAATGACAAAGACAAGCTGGTATTTATTGTAATGTGTTTACACATCAGTTGACGCACAACACACTGCACTTACTACTTCTCATTCTCCAGTGCAACAAACTCAAATCCTGCTTGTGTATTTCAATATATTGGCTTCAGTATGAAAGTGCAAAAGACTTATCTTTGATTCTTGGATGCTAATATCTTTGCAGTTGCGAGATTGGCTGGACTTATCGCTCAACCATTCAGTGCCATCTTCTTTGTTAATCCTTTCTAGGTAATTCCATTCCCTGTTTTTAGGATCTTGTGATTTAGACTATCAACTGAGCATGTTACCGTGTTATTTTATTCTCGTCAGAGCCTTCACAGTATCAGGCAAAGTAAAACCAGAGGAAGCTGTTCAAGCTACACTTTCATCACTGCCAGATGAGGTGGTGGACACTGTCCAAGTTACATCTATGCCATCTGAAGATTCTCTTGCTGAAAGGAAGAGAAAGCTTGAGTTCTTAGAAATGGAAGAAGAGCTCATCAAGGTAAAATCTTGTTTTTGAATTTTACGGGTCATGAAACCTCATTATAAATTTAAACTATTGGGAAGAATTCATATTGTTCAAGTTTAGAATACTGTTTCCAGAATTTATTAGCAATATTTGAAAGACAAATTGTATTTTCAGTTTTTATTACTTTACTCCAAACTGAATGTCCTTGGTTAGTGAGTTAGAGAAAATGTACATTTTTCTGATAAGACAGTTCTATAGTGCCTCACGCCACAAATATATTACATAGGATTTTCCTAAAAAATATTCTCAGTTTAACCTTTTCATTTCCGTTTTGTTAAGAGAGAAGTTAAGCAGTTGGCTCAATGTTTGACATCACTGTTATTTACAATTATGTTATTGAAAACTTAAGATAGACTTGCGACCGGGAGGATAATACAAAATCCTCTCTTTCACTTGCTTGATACACTTGCTAATCCTTCCTTAACCCAATTCATGTCCAATTCTTTCTTCAAGCATATTTTTTGCCTTTTGGGTGCAAATTTTTTAATGTACATATTACAATGTCAGCTTTCAAATGTTATAATTATGTGATGTTGATTGAAGATAGCTGTTGACCATTTTAAAACTTACCTCTGATTTCGTAGGTTTGTATTATAAGTATCTTTGTGGAATGAAAGAACTATGTACATTTGAGGAATAGCCTCTCGTTCGTAGTCTCTTTATGGCGCACCCATGGAATTACAGTGTGTATAGAAGATTGCATGTCGTTCATAGAGAATCATGTTATGCTGTAATTCTCTACCTTTCAGTATACTGCTTGTATACGTGTGATTTTCCCGTTATTAATGAAATTATTTACCTTGTCAAAAACTACTGTGTGTAGACTACTAATTCTAAAGTCGTTGCTTTTAGGAGGAGGAAGAGGAAGAAGAAGAAGAGCAGGCTAAGATGAAAGAAAAGCAGAAGGATGTAGCTTTGGAAGAGATGACTCTTGCAACAGCTAAAGAAGCAGAAGAACTAAAGAAAACCAAAACTTTGGATCAACAAGAGCAGCTTTGTGAGCTTAGTCGTGCATTGGCTGTTTTAGCATCGGCTTCGGTAAGTATTAGGATGGAGTTTTTCTTTTGTAAATTGGATCTTTGCTGATCATGTCCTGCTTTGTTGCTTATTCTTTCAGTCTGTAAGCCTGGAGCGTCATGAGTTTTTGAGACTTGTCAAGAAAGAGGTAATATATCATTGCTTGAGCTATTACCATTTTGAAATATCGTAACATGCCTGATAAGGAATTTAAGCAAAAGCGAACTGTCTTTCTAGATTTCATGCTAGATCTAGTTAATTCAGTTGTTTGTTTTCTGTTTGTTGTTTTGTTTAAAGAAACTAAACTGGAGAACCTGCTTTTTGAAGTCAGATTATTTTGTTTATCATTATTTAAATAATTTGAATGACCTTCCATTACTTCTCTTTCCGGTTTGAAGGGGTTGTTGCATTGTCTATTAGTTCAAGATTGCTAAAAATTGAACTTTGTATCAATTTCCTTTTGAGGAGTTAAATCGCAATAAGCTTATTGTGGCTGTGGTTCTAGTGGGAGTCGTATGAGTTTCTCCTGATTTCCAGTAGCTTAGTGATTCTGATGAAGTTTTTGGAATGTTCATCAATGGGACTTGAATTGTCCCTATGATATCTGATACCACCAAACTTTAATATCTTATGCTTGGTTCAATATCTTGTACCTGTAATATGTTTTCCATTAACGATCTTAAGATTATACTGGGCATTTTGTAAAGAGCTCTTGTAATAACACCTGTTAGTCATCGGCATTATGTGAGGCTTAATTAGTACCTTTTAAAGTATTATGTAGCTATACCTGGTGATGGTGCACTCTAAATTTATTGCGTTTTGTTTTTTTTGATCTTTCAGCATCAGCTATGTTATTTTATGTCTCTATTGGTTTTCCTTCTTTCAATTACTCAATGCACCCTGTTTATGGGTAGCTATCTGTTCTAGGCTTCTAACTGGAACATGTTCAATGTGATAGATTACAAACCTTAAAAGAGCACACTAGGCAGGTTTTGGACAGTAGAATCTAACTGAGTATGTGTTCGGGTACCCAACCTACTTGCTTTGCTGTTCTTTTAGGTCTACTAGTATTTAATGAAATTTCTATTATTTAAAGACAAATGTGGTACTACCGTAAGGAGGAAGGAGGATGGAGGATGGTTGGGAAACTTTAGAACTTTCATATGTGACTTTGTTTATTCCTTGACTGCTTTCAGTTACCTTGTCCTCTTGCAATCATATTCATAGTTGTTTTTCTACTGCGACTGTAAATTCTTTTGACAGCATAGTGCATATGTATATTAATACAATGGAAACACCACAAATTCAACGTTGAAGCTATTTTTGTTTTGATAATTGCAGATAGAGTTGTACAATAGCATGGTGGATAAAGGGGGCCCTGAAGGTGAAGAAGAAGCCCGAAAGGCATATAAAGCTGCTAGGGAGGAAGACACTGACCGCAATAAAGAACGGACTGTGGACGATAAAGTTTCATCTGCACTTATTAACAGGGTAAAACTGATCCTAGGAATATTTAGCTAAGGCTTTAAAATTGCACCAATTCTTGATTTCTTTTTTGCATTGTAGTTGTAAGATTATGCATGAAAACTCATATACCTCCTGTAATTACCACTCAACAGGTTGATGTAATGCTCCAAAAACTTGAAAAGGAAATTGATGATGTGGATGCCAAGATTGGTAATCGTTGGCGGTTACTGGATAGGTATGTATATAGAAGCTAGTTATATGGGCTACAAATTGCGCTCGAGGTACTATCTAAAAATTTAAAAAGAGGCAGCAGCTCTACTTTATCAAAAAATAAGAGAAAAAAGAGAAGCAAGAAAAGAAGAGAGAAAGTTCTACCTTATCAAAAAAGAAAAAAAAGAAAAAGTGGCAGTTCTAAACAATCTGAACAGTCTCTATTTTTTCACCGAGTTTAATGAACTACTACTGCCACTGCTCAACGTAAAAGAGATAATAACAAGTTTGCATGTGAACATTGAGGTTTTATATCCCAATATATACATGTTCTGTCAGCTTTTTCATTTGAAGTAATTTCAGCATTATCACCTGTGAGCTATCAATTTACTGTTTTCATGTACATGTTTTATATCATGAGGAAAGTTTAGGGTTGGAGGAATTCTTATTAGCCACTGATAGTGGTTCTGGTAGATAATGTAGTGTATGGAGTGTCTTTCGTTTCAGAAAATCCTGGCATTGGGTGCAAATGTCAGATGAGTAAATTTGGTGTATGTCAATGCACCTGTGCGTCCTGTATCTTTGGTTAATGCAGAAATTGGTATCCTTCTCTTTTGTGATTGGGCTAAAACTAGAATCTTTATATTTCATAATAGGATTACTTGTCTCTCTAGCTGAACTATCAACCATATAAAAAAGAAAAAATTTCCTCCATGGAGAAATCTTGTTTATTGTTTCTCCTATATTACTTTCTGCTCCTTTTAGATTCTGCTTGGAAGTTAATAGGAGAATGAAGGTAACTCTTTTGTGTCCTGCGGCAGGGATTATGACGGAAAAGTCACTCCAGAGGAGGTGGCATCTGCTGCTGCATACCTCAAGGATACATTGGCTAAGGAGGGCATTCAGGAGCTCATAGCCAACCTTTCCAAGGACAGAGGTTAGACATGAATAGTTCTTTGATAATTCTTGTTTCTATCTGTCATAACGTATTTTTTTTCCAACTTTACAACTGTACCTCCCAATGTCTGATGTATTTTTGAGGACCTAGGGGGAATCAAAAAGACAACCTAGCGTAAGAAATTCAGTAAAATTTGGATCGACATTTTGATGTTGGTGATTGCTTGCTGCTTGATGAAACAAAAGAGATATCTTGTTGCTGTACTTATCAAAGCAAAAAATAGTAATAATAATAATAAGGAAAAAAACAAAAGAGATTGTTGCAGTGAGTGTAGTTTAGTAGGGTTTCCAGAGTATTATTTTAGATGCAGCTATATTTGAGATTGAGAAGGCATTTAAGGAGGATAATAAAATGGCAGGCAACTAGTATAGGTTACAGTGGAAAAGCAAGAATGATGTTTATAATCTGACATCAAATTGTTGTCCTCCATTTGCCCAAGAAGGATGGTATGGCTTGCTCAGTTTGTCAAACTAGTTAATTTTTGGGTTGGCTGTGGGCATTGGTCATTCATACTGCGGAAGGGAAAATTTTGTGTAAAAACTATACATAAGTACATAATCATGTAGTTCAAAATCAAATTTTATTTAGAGGACAAGTTTTTTGACTCTTCAACATAGTAACTGCATCGCATAAAATGGGATAGGAGTATTAACTAGTGTTGATTTATCCCCAACCCCCCCAAAAAAAAACGAAATGTTGTGTCACGTTATAGAGCCCATCAATAGCAGTTAGCAAATAGAACTCTAGATTCTCTTCTCTATTCATCAGTAGTTAGTAATGGTTAACTGGGATCTCTGACTATTATAAAACCTCTACGATAATGATTAGAGGTGGAACAATCCATATTGTGTAACCTGCCCAATGTTCGAGCTTGGATGGGTTGGGTTATTAATAAAATAGTTGATGGATTATACTGGGTTGAACTCAAAAGGGACCGTGGAAATTTTGGGTAATCGGTTCAAACAATGTAACCGGACAGGCTAAAATCCAACCAGACCGGGCGGTTATTTTTTTTTGGATAATATACATAATTTTATTAACGTAGGAAAAACTCCGCATACAAGCCGTATGCCAAAGTTATAAAACTTTACCCTTTCACTTTTTTCTTTTTTGCTTCTTTTCTCCAAAACTAAGTTGAATTTGCTTCTCTTTTTGGCTCCTGCCAAAGGCAACTCTTCTACAGGATTGGTAACTCAAAAACGAAATACACTTCTCTATTTCTATGATCCACCGAAGAGTCACTTGTAAAAGTCTGATGTGCTTATTCTCTTGTCATTAAAAAAATGTAGTCATTTTTCTTCTTTTACTATTTCTCGCAGATAAGTTATATACAATACTTTTCATTAGTAATATGCTTTTACTGATATATAGTGCTTGTTTTTTCTTCAAGTCTACATATTTTTTTTGTAAACACTAAACAGTCCAATCTTTCAGTTTTTCTCTTTTTCTTTTTTGATGAAATAATTGGCTTTATTGATGTCATCAAGAAGATGCAAAATATTACAAGAAGCAGAAGCATAGAAGCTTCAAAAAGCAAAAAAAGACCACCTGTTAGCTTACTACATATATGCTAACTTAGATACAAAGAGCTAACAAAGTTCACAAATGTTTCGGGGGAATCTACTGGGGAAATATTTGCCCAGCTAAATAAAAACAAAAGACATTTAGCTTCTTCTATTAGGGTGTGGTTAGGAGTTGAAAGTCCATCAAGCATCTTCTATTTCTTTCATTCCATATGCTCCAACAAATACAAGCAGGTATCATTTTCCGGATATTCTTGATGGTCTTATCAACTTTCCAGCTGCCCCAGCTCTGAAATGCCTCCTTCATGTTGTGAGGCATAATCCAGCTAATACCAAAAACAAAGCAAAACATGCTCCAAATATCTGCTGCAACTCTACAATGTAGGAATAGGTGGTTGTTGGTTTCTGCATCCCTTTGACACATGTAGCATCTATTAACTAACTGGAAGTTCCTTTTAATAAGGTTCTCCTGAGTCGAACATGCCTCATAAAGTGCAGTCCAGCTGAAGCAGATGACCTTGGGTGGTAGTCTGGTTCTCCATATTAATTTCCATGGCCAAAGATCAGTAATTCCATTTCTAGCCATTATTAGCCTGTACCCTGCCTTCACAGAATACCTACCATCACTTGCTCCTCCCCATCTGAACTTATCTGTGATGTGCTCATTTAGTGTGACGCCATGTAGTACCTCTAGCAGTCGAACATAATCAGAAACCTCCCAGTCCTGCAAATTCCTTCTTAGAGTAACATTCCAAATGGGGCCATCCTTATTTTGAATGATTGTAGAGTCGGGATCACGTGCAATCTTTCAGTTTTTCTCTTAATCCCACACGTATTAATTTGGTATGGAAAGAGTCAATGGTAGAATCTTTTATTATGAAAAATCAAATACTCGTAAGTATTTTCATCACAAAGAGATCGATGTAACACAGTAGTAATTTGTGGTCTATTTCTTTTTATATGCTTCAACTTGTTGTCTATAAATGTTTCTATCATATTTTAACCACTTCTATTAAAGGAAATATACGTTTAAAAAACTGAAGAATGTACATTTGAAAATTTATTTCAACAAGATAAACATTATTATTGTACAGATCACAAATAAAATGTGCACATCAATTGGAAATAGATTGGAGAATGATTCACTCAATCAGTTAACTAAATACATACACAAAATCATAGCTAGCTTTCACATTCTCTTTTCAAAAAGAAAAACAAAAAAGGAGGGGAAGTTGGGTCATGTTGAGCAAGTTGTGTTTCAACCCATTGTTAAGCCATCTTGACTCAACCCATATAAACCCAAATAACCGTTGGCTTGGTAGGTTTATGACCCGTTTTGACCTACCCAAGTTTAAGTCAACCCGCACATTTGATTCCTCCAATCAAAGATATTGAACAATAAATGGTCATGAATTAAAGCTGCGAAGAAGGAGATTCCAAGAGTCGGGATGTTCTATCAATTTTAAAGGTAGAAGGAGACTTTAAATAGCAGCTCAATTGAAGGAAGGGTATTCTCCAGTTAGTCTCAAACATTAAGTTTAATTTCTTGGCTTGGATGGAGTAGCACGATTATTTTTTGTTCTGTGGGTTCCAATTGTACATGACAAGCTTCAACTATATCTGGAGATTTAAAGTTAATTTGACTTGCCTATTATTAGTGGTAGTAGTAGAACAAATTTAAGTGATTGATTTTTGAATTAGATCTGGTAAGCATCACGACAAGACTTGGTTTGAATTTTATACTGAAATGTTTAAAAATATTGCTGTGTTATTTTAGAAATGTCAAATGTCCCAGAATAGAAGATGTTGCACATGATTGGGACAACGAGCGCTATATTATTTGTCTATGATCGAGATCCTTAATAATATCATTTTTTCCCTCTTTTGTATTAACTAGTAGTTGGTATATATTGTAACAGAAGGGAAAATCCTCGTCCAAGATCTGGTGAAGTTGGCCAGTGAAATAGAAGATGCTGAAGAGGAAACAACAGAAGAGGAAAAAGCTCAAAAGTAAGGCAATACAGCAATAATTTTGATCAATTTAGTGCTATTCATTTAGTCTCCAACCTTTCACTTTATACTAATATGCTCCTTATGTGGGCGCTTATGGTTGAATTTGGGTGGTTGATAAAACAGTTCAGATCCAATTCACAAAAACTAAAATGTGTATGGATATGACTGTCAACACTTAAATATCTCCCTCTTACCCCCCCCCCCCCC